TCCGTATGGTTGATTGAAGATGCCTTTTTCATTTTCTTGCTGCCAGTCTATTTCCTTATTGATGTTTTACTGTATTATATCAGCAGTGTTCTTGCTGAAAATTTGCTCATATGGGTGAATATTGATTATTTCGACTTGGCTTATTGTCAAATTTACACAACACCAGCCACAATCCCTCGTGGTTCACCGTATCAAATGCCTTTGTAAGGTCTACGAACAACGAGTTCAATAGCTGATGTCACTCTGCCTTTCTCCTGCAGCTGACTAACCGCGAACACCGTTACTGTAGTGCTGCGGCCAGAACGGATTCCGCATTGCTCCTCCGCCACGTTCGGTTGAGCATTATTCAGGCGATCACTTTACTCACAAAACTGCAAATTGATGCCATGATAATTCGTGGCACATTCCTTACAATGGCAGCACAAGGGCATCCTTCAGCTCAGGAGGCACCTCCTTAATCCACACGCGTTGCACCAAGGGATGCAGCGTATTTACCCACGCGCGTTCGCCGTTTTTCAGTACTTCAGGCGGGATCTCGTCGGCATCGGCTCACTTGCCGTTTCGGAGCTGAGTATATGCCGTTGTCGGCAAGACAGATCTTCATCTCTACCTGTTGCAGCCTGTGCAACATAGCCCAATAAATCTCTGAACCGTTGTTCAAGAGACAATCAAAGTGCATTCCCCAGACTTACATTATGTCTGTAGTCTGTTTACAGACAGCGCCTGAAATACGATCGAGCAGCGTCGTCAGTGGCTGCAACCTTGGTCCATACACCGCCTTCAAGGAGTCAAAGAATTCCTTTTGTTGGAGGCGTTCAGTGTAGCATTCCATCTACTTCGCCTTCTTCGTCCACCACGCGTTCTCGATGTGATGGAGCTCTCGAGTGATTTGCCGTCGAAGTTTGAGAAAACCACCCCCTCTCTGTGTTGGCAAGGTCATCCACATGCGCAGCGAACGCTGCATTCTTCTTCTACACCAGTGCGGCACTGGTTGCACTAGTACCATCAAACCAATGAGGTCGCTTACTGTTTGCGCCCCCCCGGTCGTTTCTTCGGCAGCAGCTGTCACCTTCTCACGGATGCGGTGTCACAGGTCACTCACTGATGCGATGGATTCGACATCGCCAAGGCGGTTAGCCATCACCTTCTCCATTTCTATCCTCTTCTTGGCAGTACTTAGGGAAAGAGCTTTGTATTTCCGCCGGTTCACGGCATGGGTTCAATACATAGATTTACGAAAATATATGTACAATTTGGTCCGCACCAACTTCTATTAAGTGCTGCACTCAGCTGCACGCATTACACTTGTCGTGTGCGCTTAGCACGCGTATGATGACAGTCAAACAGGTGAGCGTGACCACTCCGTGGGTGTGTCCAATTAGCTTTATCACTCGCACCCAGTGCAAACTGTCTGTTCCTGATCATCAGGCCGTGAGTGACACATTTAGGGTAGCCAATCTCCGTTCTTAATGACAATGCCAATATCATACGAACAGATTACGCCTGCCAACACCGCGGCATCACGCCCACGTGCAGATCGAAATCACCCAGTAGCAATAACCGATCTCTCCTCGGCACTGGCCGTATCACGGAGGATAACTGAGTGTAAACCTGATCCCTCGTGTCATCAGGATAACACATGGTGGGACCATACTTGCTAATAAAAGTGGCAAACTTACCTCCGACCATTCGCAGACCGTAAGTCATCAGTGGTGGGCTGATTCCAGTCGGCTCTGCCACCAGCGGATTATTTAAGAGGTCAGATAGTGCAAATCTGACGCCATGTTTACGTGATGCTGAGGTGGCGTACTCCACCCAGCAAAACGTGGAACCATCACCTGCCTCATGCACTTTGCGTTAGCTAGCCAAATCTCTCTGAGTGCGGCAACATCGATCTCGTTGCGCGCGAGTCCCATCGCGACCAGTGCATTGCGTTCCCCGGAACTTTCCCTCGCATGACGGTCGAGTAGTTTTCGCACGTTGGGTGCTTTGCGCGGAGGCATACGGATGCATTGGCGGGCAACCGTATTTGTTGTGACGACATGGATTGGAGGAAGTAATGTTTTAGGTAAAACAAGAACGTGGATAGTATTTGAAGGGGAAGAATGAAGAAGACAGGCGTGAGCGTTAGCATGTTTTCGCTTATCCACCCCGTTGTATGCATCAGATAAAGCGACTCTCTTCCTAAGGTCACTGCGCGATGGCCGATGCAGCATGAGATTAGCTGTATAGGCGTAATACACGGTTAGTTTGTGAACTGGATACTGACAAGGCGTCTACGCCTGAATGGAGAACGACGGGTCCTCAACCAAAGCCCGCAATAAGATGTACACTTGAAAGGCAGCGTGTCGTGCGCCATGAGTCAGTGAACCGACTCATATTGAACTATGCCAGTCTTGACTCTTAGCTAGAGTAAGAGTGTAACCCAACTCCCACCCAGCGGTCTCCATGTTGAAGCGTCCAGGATATCAGTCCACGGCACAACATTAGTAGTAGCGTGTCGACGATCTGTCAGGATCTCGCCACCACAAGCCTCAACGCGTCATCGGACTTTTCGCCATATAGTTGGCGGCATCCGGTTTCGGATTTGCCTGTCACTGTAGCAAACCACAGGACGCCTGCGCCTACAGACGGACCATGGATGGCTTGCGCTGCACCACCTACAGCTCCAACCACATACCCCATATCCAGTGTAAACCCGAAGGAATAAAACCGGGAGGCATGCGGATGGGAACCACGTTTCATCAACGGAGCCGGCCCACACTCCTTCACAGGCAAACACAAGCACGCTGTATTTGGGGAATCAAGCGCACACAAGGCGGTGGCTGGACCGTAGTCCGCTCCACACTGAGTGCATGGAACCGCTCTTTGAGCCTAGCACGGCCACAAGAACCGTGCACCCCATCCCCTCCAGCAACGGCCAACTGTCTCCTGGAGCCAGTATGAACGATGTAGTGGGTAATAGACAGGTAGGCACCTTGTCAACATACACATCAAGCGCAACCACACCAGGGATATCAAACAACAGCCATTTACTTTAAACGACAAGCTGAAATAAAATAAATCCAATAATGCATACAGATACGGTGGCATAACTCTTCGCAAAATTACCATATGAAGTAATTTGGTTAGCAACAAATCCGTGATAAGTAAGAAATGTCCACAAGTTACTTAAAATTGCTACAAACGCAACAAAATTACCGAAGATAAGCGCAATTAGCGTAAGCAACGTGGCCAGTTAATAGAACATTATTCAGGGAGGCAGAACAAACCAAATAAAGCGGAATGAAATTTGTCCAGCTTATAAAGACCTACTTTAAGTGTAAATTGGTTTGACCCAGCTGCGGTGAAGAAGCATCAAGAATGCAACATCAGCCATATACTCACATACATATATAACTACGTTGCTCCATTAAGTTACTCTCAAATTTGCGAACTTTTTGAGCCTTTTCCGATCAATCTTAGTCGTTTTACCTTGATCATACCTATTCCGGCATGCTTCATATTTACGAGAACTGACCATTTCATTCTTTATTGGCTTCTACCGTTGACTTTGGTCTTGCGACGCAACCACAATTTACTGCCTTTTTGTTGCATCTTTATCTGTACAGTAGCTGGCTACCATCATCATTGGTCAGTGTTGTTCGATAACTTTTTCAGTTTGCTTAAGTTCGTTTACTGAAGAGTGTTTATAGTCACCACTTATTGTCTTTTATCTGGCAGTTTATCGAATCTCGCTCAGAACTATTGAATTCATCGCTTGGGATCATCCCCTCGGACGACTTCGAAGACTGTGTTCAGTATATTTGTGGTTCATCTGAGACACTGTTGGCTGACGCGTTGGGTCGAGGGCGTCCTGAGTTAAATCGCATAACGAAAAAGGTTAGCTCATGCTTTTGACTATTTGGCTTCGATCCTTTAGTCTGAATAACGACGTTCCTTTCACCGTGTTAACAACTCGATCGTTGCTTTATGTGGGCTGCCTGAATTTAACGGACACATTACGGGTGCTAATTTCTACCTAACGTTTTCTTTTAAGGTTTAGTTTTAATTTTTGTTATCTGATTATTTATCCTGCCTTTTACTACTATCATGGAATTCGGTCTCGGATATGTTTATGACTGACGGATCGGTCTTTGTGCTGATTGTGGTCTCATCGGTCTTGCTCCTCAACACGCCTTCGTTTGTTAGTTTAAATACCTTTTCCATCTTGTTCTGTTAATCTGACATGTGCAAGAACCATAAGAAAAAAGTTTGTTTCTTTTGACTAGCGTCTGCTTACCTTCAACAACACTTTGAACACAACTGTCACATATCTTCGTGACTTACTTTGTACTCCCGGTCGCAATTGTTACATTGACGAAACATAAATCGACAGCATTTTCGGGTAATTCTCTCTAAGGAAAGTCACCACCCGCCGAGATTGAAATGCAATGTTAAAGCCATCCATTAATAAAGCTGAAACCTTTGTTCATTGTGTCAGTAGCACTACAGTTTTGTTGATCTCTCACAATCGCTATTGTAGTCTCTCACCAATATGCGTGCCGCTGCTTCAGGAATTGTCCTTTGCATGGTGCGAACATTTACATTTATCCGACCTGTTCTGCACGATGACACTTTTGGGCACTTGTATATCTACTGTGGGATTGATCAGCGGTCAGATCAGCTTCCGTCTCGTGGTTCCCACTGGTTAGAATTCACCAAATTTGTGGGCCATTGCAACTTCGGCAAGCTTACTTTCAGAACACCAATCGGATTTGCTTTAGATGAGAATCCTGATCAGTCCCCTGCATAAATTTGATTGATTAGCCATAGCTAGCGCAAGTGACTTCAACCTCAACCTGCACCGTCCACCGCGCAATTTCCAAATGGTCGCCTTATCTGCTTCAAACAGAATGGAGACTAAACTAAAATTGACTACTTCAGATGTCTCTCTGTTTTCTTTCTTACCCGTTTATTTTGACTTCTCAGATCCCCTTTGCCAAGCTTCCTCCCATCATTCCCGGCATAGAGCAAAACGGATCCATCGTCATTTAAGTCCAGATCATAACAGTGCGGAGTGATTTAAATCACCCGAAACCGTCTAACAACTTTCGCTACTCGGTTGATTTGGTGGTCTTCAGTATACCTGATGGCCAATATACACCTACATTAACACAGGATATCTGTGGTTTGTGCGTGTTTTTTGCATGAGTCCGCGTGTGATTAGGGATGTGGCTTCCTGTATAAATTCTAGGCAGGTGGACAAAAGCATCAACTGGTACAGGTCGTTGAATCGGACAGTTTGCAGATGGTCGATGTTCCTTCTCATTGTAACTAGATCAGCTGCATTTTGTTGCGGTTCCCCTGAGGTAAATGTGGATGATGTGCACACGCTGGCTGCAACCATAAACATAAAGCACCGTGTGTTTGATATCGACGGGCTAGGCTCAATCGGCGTCTGTCGCTTCCGTGACTGGCGTTTTTCGTGCTAGGGCTACAGTCGTTTCTGGTACATTCGAGCAACAGCATTGTTGATGTGGGCACGCCATTGTCGGCGGTCCAATATCATTGCTTCCCAACTCCTAAAGTCAAGTTAAGTCAAAATTTGTCTCATATGCCCCTATGATCACATATTCAGCATTTTACAGTATTGACTTACAGATGGGCTAAAATAACATCATCAGAAATGTATATTTCTGTGATTAGAAAAAGAAGGCCGTGTTCGTGTTGCATTTGAATAACTAGTTCGGAATCCGCAAGCAACGATTACACATTTGAATTCTGTGGACAGGAAAGTGCGAAACTCCAGTTTTCCAACCATGGTGGTGCACCCCCACTTTAGTAAAACACTTCTTTTTTATAAATCGCACAGAGTACGCAGTATGAGATTTTCCTAAAAACCTACGACCAACAGTAGTTGTGACCTTGGAAATAATGTAACTAACAACAATGTCAACACATTCCGGAAACAGATACATCCGCAGTATGTACTGTAAAATGGATGTTCTAGTAAAAGAGGCAACGGCTGACTTTGTCATCCACGGTTTTGGCAATCACGCCGGTTTATATGACAAAACTCACGAGGATATTTCGCAGTATGCAGACATCGATTGAGGACGATTTTGCCACGCAGTGGGCACTGTTGGCAGTTGCATGTGGTAATACTGCTTGATTCTTATGCCAACAAAAGTTGGACATATGGGGTGGACAAGTGAGGGCGTGAGAATTAGAGCGCATCGTTAAATAGCGATAATCCAGTGAGATGTGTACAGTAAGTTGGTGTAATCCCGCACTGGGGGTAATTCCACAGCTTTTCCAGTTATATAACTTTTTGGTAAATGGAATGTAGTTTTGGTCAATACATGAACCACCTTTTTATTGACACCATTTTACCAGTTTCCTGTTTAAATACGATTAGCATCATGTACAAGTGTTCAGTTACGGATATGGGATACACGAACAATGCAGAGTCATCTGCATGTAAGTATACATGTTGCACTTTTCCACAGTCTATAATTGTCTTGAACCACATTATATTGTCAGAAATCGAGTAATATAGATTAACATGTTTAGAGTGTTAATACTTGTTCACGTTTAAATTATCTGTCTCATGAGCTGATTTTACGTTCCTGAGTGACAAATTACTAGCATCTTGGGCAAATTACGCACCCCAAATTAAAAGCTTGTTGGGAAATTCCACACATCACGGTGTGCATTTAACCCATGATAGATGTGGGTGGTCTAATATTGTATTTGTTCGAGTTGCAGAATAGCTCGAAACTACGGACTTAAAATGCAGCATATAACGCAGCTGCAATGGAACAAGCCGTTGCTCAAGTTAGAATAGGTATCATGGAGTACAAGAAAGCTTCCAAGTTGCACAACTTGGAAAAGATGACAATAGGAGACCATATAAAAGGAAAGTACAGCAAAATAGGAGCTGGTAGAAAAATAGTTCTCACTGAAGCAGGAGAACTCTCCAGCTGTTTAAAACGTGTTGCTCAGTGGGGGTTTGGATTCATATGCACAGAAGCGATAGAAGTTATGGGTGATTTTATTACTTTGACGGTCAAGATAGGACTGTTCCTTTTAAGTAGGATGTTCCTGGTCGAGACTGATTTTACGGATTTTAAAGAGACATCCGGATCTGACATGTCAAACTCCAAAGCAGATAAAAAAATCAAAAGTCCAGTTGGCTGTAAATAAACAGGCATTTGAAGAGTGGTTTCAGCTGCTTAATGAAACCCTTACAATCAATGGCATTATGAATATACCCGAAAGAGTTTATAACCTTGATGAGAGTGGCTTTCCACTCGACTCTAAGGGATTGAAAGTGATTTGTGAAAAGGAGATTAAAAACCATTTTCGTGGCATTTGTGGCTCAGGGAAAGATTCTATCACAGTGCAAGGATGTGCTCAGGCTGATGGGACCATGCTTCCCTATATCTCCTTCATGGAGTCAAAAATCTAAAAGTTTCTTGGACGCAAAATTGACCTGACAATGTTAGATACAATATCTCTGAAAAGATTGGATGGACAGTGCTCGTTTTAGTGACTGGTTTATAAACCATTTCATAACCTTTCTACCGGAAGGTAGACCTGTTCTGTTAATTGTTGATGGGCATGCTACACACATGAACATTAAAGTCATTAGAGCAGCAATTCGAAATGGTGTTATAATTATGAAACTTCCATCAAATTCAACCCACTTGCTGCAACCCTTTGATGTGGGTGTCTATGGACCAGTGAAGAGAGTGGGAGAAAAGTTTTATTTAAGTTGCCAGACAGAACTTTTGTACAGTCTTATCCAAAGAGCAATTTCCTATTCTTCTGAAGACGTTATGGGAAAGTAACTTTCCGAGCAAAGGAACTATTAAATCCGGATATAGCAAATGTGGCATCATGCCGTTTGAAACTATCAAAATTCCATCCTCTGTGCATGAACATGTAGCACATATGGGCAGTGTTCAAGCAACATCAACAGTGTGCCACGAAAGCCGCACAAATGTGGGCATGCGGCAAGAGGAGAATGAATTGGATCAGTCAGTCGTTTCAGTCCTTACAACAGATTCTGCCATGATGACAGAATCAGCTTTATCTCAATTTGCCGCATGCAGAAATGAATCTCATGCTAAGTAGAGCGATCAAACTAGTACACATTTTTCTCAACAGGCTGTCACCATTCCTGAAACAAAACACATATAAAACGCAGAGAAAGGCAATTAAAAGACATTATGGAGAAAGTCTGACTGCTCAAAAATGTGTAGAGCGAATGGAGCAGCAAAGGTAGCAAATGTCACAAGACCACGAAGGTTTGCGCAAAGATAACAAAGATCATAAGCATTGAAGTTCACATGGTCAGAATGATATCATGGATCAGCAGCTTCCTGATGTATTCGCAAAGGCAGCAAAAGTCACACGACCACAAAGACATCCATTAACTGAAGTTCATCTGCTCAGTAAGACGACAAATGTTTTAGACAAAGATAAACCATCCTGTTCGTATGCTCAGCTCAGAAATGATTCCACGGAAAATTGGTTTATAATCTTGCGTTCATATAGATTTTTCCATATCGCACAGTGATCATGAGTGGATGCCCCAATGAGTTTGTCTAGTGGAAGCATATTTGAAAAATTCATTTTCTGGGAGACATAACATCAAGTGCCTGCCAATTGTTTGTTTGTGGTGTTTGAATATTCCTATTTTATCAAAATATCCATAAAATGCTAATATCTTTGAGTTATATTTTCAGCAAATTTCTTTTGGTGTCATTAAATTTACCATATTACTATCCATATAATTTGTGTGATTATGAACATTGTTAATTATTTGGCTTTTTAAAAGTATTTCAAAAAGTAGGGTGCGGGATTACCCTAACTTACCGTCTAATGAACCGAAGTTCTTTAGCCTTTTGCTTGGCACGACATTTTCCAAGTAGAAGCCCTGTTGTGTCTACTCATTTTTGTTTGTCTGTTTGGAACTGTAATCAAGGTGCCCAATCATTTTGAACGCACGGAGGACAAACCTGATTGAAATGACATTTAGACGTAGCAAACGTAGTCGTCCGTCTACGCAGCTACGCTGATAAGATGAAGTGCGCAACTGGAAGTTCCTCGTCGTTTGTTTACCCATTCGAAGGGCGAATTTCATTGACCAACACGACCAATAAATATTTATGTGTTTGACGGCCGAAACGTGCCATCATTTTTACTTATTTACGTCAACGAACTATGCAACTTGTCCTTGATAAACCGACTTATTCGACGGGTACCGTCGCGTTAGTAACTACACTGCTTTTCGTACAAATTTACTGCCATATTAACAGGTTCAACAATAAAACCGAAGACTGCGGCGGACCCACCAACGCTATTGCTTTACGATAAGGTGCAATTCCGATGGCTATCTTCAAACGGCATTATTTCCGTCAATTTTCCTTAATGGCATCTATAATTCCCCTTTGATTAGTTTTATAACCGGCGGTAGTTCTCGTAAGGAAGAACAACCCAGTTGTTTGTTTGTCTATATACTTGGATTGTTTGTTTGTATTTCCGTTCATACCGAATGACTCATTCGAAATGAAAACGAGTCGGTAACCGCGATAGATCCCTAATTTTATTCAATTTTTATATATCAAAAACATTTTGAACGAAAACGTCCCCGTTTTTGGTACTTTCTTACAGACTGCCTTTATATCTACTCACCACCCTCATTTCTCCAGCTTTCCCGCCTCGGAAGAAAGCACACCAATCACGTGAGTCGATGGCGATCTTCCAAACTGTGCCTCTCCTCATCTACCCTTACATCGCTACCATGAACCTTCCCCAATTTTTCGTTCCCAGATCGATAGATTACCACGGCTATGGGCCTTTCACGTACCGCTGTCATCATCTGCGATTACAGTGAGTATGTTGTTCATGCAGTTAATTGTCGTTTTCGTTACCCTATGATCGATTCTGATGCATTCCTACTTCTCTCATCACATGCGCGCCTTAGAAACGGTGTCTCTTCTCAGTCCATTTAGTCACCCATTCCTCCTCGTGCCCCCATTCAACACTACCATTACCACTTACATTATGGAAAATGTGGCACAAGAATGCACGTTCACAAAACCTAATAAATCCCCCTACAACTTACAAATGCAATAAATGTTGAAATATTGGCTGATGAGTTGCTACAACAGATCGAGTGGAATTGCACCATTTTGGAAACGTCTCAAATAGTGATGTGGTCGACTTTGTGAACTGGTCCAAAAGGCCGTCCTTTGGCCACCAGATTGTTTAACCCAACATAGTGATTTTTGAGGACAACACCTTCTGCGAGAAGCCACCGAAATGCACTCGATAGGTGCCTCCTTACCACGGATGATGAATCAAATTCCGAAAAAAATTCCAACGATATTCCAGCAGATTAATGGTGGATCACCAGCTGGCGCATCTCAGCATTACTGTCTGTAATCCAGCTAGAATGGAGCACCGCTACATAGGCGCTGGTGATCAGAGACGACGATACCCTAAGTGTCGTCGGTATGCTGCACTCTCTCTTCTCGTCCACACGATAACACTGTGCAGTACGGTGCAGCACACTCCATATCGATTCGCAAGCTGAATCCATTTTGTAAATTAACCGACGGACAAATGTGACAGCGTTACAATATCACCCATTTCATGCTGCTTGTTACAGGCAGTATTCCTGAAAATGTTCCTTGTTACAAGCAATGTTGTGTTTTTGTGCTTGTCAGCCCAGCGTCAACGTTTTAGTCAACATATCACATCCCAACTCCCTGACACGTATCTTTAACATGCACTCTTAACACTTAGGGCTTGTCAGTAATCGTATTTGCTAGGACAATCATATTCTTTCCCACAATAATACCACTTACACTTCTTACTACTTCCTTGCTACCAATACGCGGCCTAAGCTGTTTAATTTTGTAAGTTCATTAGTGATGTAAGTTACCGAATTCGCTACTCTGGTCGTTATCCTGTCCTGCCCTAGGCGGTAGTGTGCAAGTCAGTAGTGAGTGAGCCGCTTTATATCGCATCTAAGAACTACTTCACGCCATTTGATGTCATCCCTATACACCAATGGTCTCAATCATGGACTTGCAGTAGTCTGATTGCGCGTTTAAGCCTCTCAGGGGACGGATGGAGTGCTCACAACTGACTACTACCGAAGGGGCGAAAAGGTCTTATGGTTACTGTTTGAGTGTGGCCGTATCGAGTTTCTCTAAATTACTGCTTAATCGAGGAACCGATTTTGCGATCTGATGTGGGAAAGTCAATTTGTTTCGCATAGATACGCACCCACGGCACGGATACCAATACTCACTTGCGCAAGCAAAGCTCTACACCGCGTGGCAGTCGCAGAGTGACCATGCGACCTCCAAATCATGAAGCAGCGGGGTTTCGTGAATAGTCGTCCTGCCGAAACTCTTACCAGGCGTATTGAGTAATTTTTCCTATAACTAACGGAGTGTCCTGACCTGCCTCGCCATCCTGAGAGTCAGTGAAAGCACTTGTGCGAAAGGTCTTTCTTTATCTCTCTTAGGGGTGCGGTCGTGGGGAGCACGCTCGTTTCGCGTTGCGTGCGTCACTAAATTGCTAGTGTTTCCGTCATCATCCATACGGCGACTAGCTTTCGCGCAGGCGTTATTTCATAACTAATTCGAATTGCGTGGTAACGACTCCAAGCGAACATTCATTCAATGCGTTCCACTGAAAGGAAGTCCATAGCACTTCTACCCTTCAACAGATGCATACGATTCCTTAGGGTTCTGAAACTTCACGATATGTTTTGCAGCTTCACCGATTCCACTCTGATTTCGTCCACTTAGGTAATAGACTCCGCTCTTCCATAGATTGAAGCTTTCAAACTGCAGCTATGAACGCATTATAGCTTCTTCTCATTTGATGCATGTCTGCATTGCTGTACTTTTTAACGTTTATCACTGATTTTGTTTTGGGCTTTCCATTGGGCCAACTGTCTCTTCGAAACGAGCTTGTTTCCACTCGGAATCGCATCGTATTTGGATGACTCGGCACTTGCTCGATTAATAAGCTACATTTCGTCCACCTTCCATTATCACTGGCCCCATTACATGATTTTTCCACTTGGCGAACCATGAACTAACCACCACCACTGTTAGCTCGTTTGGTTGACGTAGTGTAGATATTCTACTTCACCCAAACACAACAACTATAAGTACTAGGCTTCTGCCACTGCTAAACGTCACTTCGATGGGCGCTTTCCCGTGATACACATGTTTGTAAATTTATCTTTGCTTCGGATACCGTATCGCGTTGTCTTGCTTAATCTTGGTTCCTTGGTTTTTCCTAGAAAACTCAGCTGCCATCGGCTTCGAACGACAGCTCTTCTAGCAGTTCATCTTCGGATGCTGAAGTCTACGGATCATCGGAAACTGTGTCACTCCACGAAGATTATGTTGAATTGCATGACACAGTGCCGGACACATCTATAACTGCTATCCACAAACGTTGGCGTTCATTTCGGTCTGTTAGTGACTCTGTTCAGCTGGAGAGCGAACGAACTCGACGAAGTCTTCTTTCTTCCGTACTGTGCGCGATCCCGGACTTACCACCTGATTGGCTTGAACCTCCACCCTCTACCTTGCCTTCGTCCGTTTGTGCTCACACCCTGCCCGCTCCGACGGCACCTTTTCCTGATGTAATTCCCTCAGTTTTTGCAACTTCTGACTGCGGAGAAACTCCGATCAATCAGAACTTTGAAGATCACAACATTCAGTAAGTTTTTTGCGGTTTCTTGCATTACTTATATTCTTTATGAATGTTTCAATATTCATTCTAGTTTTTGCTTTCATTTTCTGCGTCCACCGTTTTTCCATCTTCGCTGATGAAATATTCCGATTTAATATTACCTTTCACATAAACTACCCTTGTCCCTTACCCATGTCTTTGCATATTTTTGTAATGTCGGGCATTTTCGTGGCTTTTTAAAGCATTATTCCCATTCCTTTATTTATCGCAGTCCTTCACTATCTCATCCCATACGCATGTGTCTCGTCTGTGTACAATCTCGTTCGTTAGATTATCTGTAGCATTTTGGGTATGGTAAATGTGCAATCTTTTTTATACTGATAATAGGCTATCTGTGATGGTTCAAACGTATGTGTGTTCCCATTTTGAGCGTCACCTCTAATCTATTCAATACTATGATTGTTCGTTTTATGAGCGACTACATTTTGTATTTGTGTTAGCCACCCGCGCATATCATCGCCATCTATCATGTCATGATTATTGCGCTTTTAGGAGAAGTCAATGGTTGCACACGTTTTATCACCAAGAACTTACTGTTCCACTGGCTACGAGGATTTTTACAATTTACTAGCGCTTCACGCCGTGGATTGACGGTCGCATCATAATGCCGTTAGAGTCATCATACAATCCTGACAGTTAACGAGAAGTCTATGTTTAAACGTTATTTCCCTAGTCCATCAACGTCATTTACCACCATTATATGGTACTGAGAAGCCACAGTCTCTCTGCTACTTCCAATCACTTGTTACGGATTAGGTGCAGCTTCATCAGTGCGCACAAGATTGACCGGGAACAATACCTTGATTCCACCGTTTACTTTGCCCCTTGCTTTGACCTATTTGGACTCGAATTTCTATTCGGTTGCTTCATTGGACGTTTAATAGCTTTGAGGAGAATGGTGAAACCCTTTCGGGACCCTCCTTATGCACTGTTTGGACACTTCCAATGCTGGTCCTTTCGATTGTTGACTAGGTTATTCTTACCATTTTTGTATTTATATGCGGTGGTATGGACCATCAGATACACGGAAACCGATTAGTTTGTTTTGCATGTGGTGTCAACGAAAGAGCCTATCTTCCAAACTTCTTCCTCCAGCACTTGGAGCTTTAGGGATTCGGAATGGCCCTGATGGGTCTTCGCGTAAGTTGTTCAGCTATGGGAGACCAGTATCATCACCATTGATCAACCACGCATTCCCTGCATTTGATGAGTTGAATCCGTTTTATACACCCTGATGTTATTACGTTTCACTCCGATGCTATTTCAGCGCAAATTACCTGGGTCGAATACCGGAAATAGTTGATCCATTTCGTCCAACGCGGGTAAGTGGATGGTTACCCACATACTTTCCGCCAATAGTTATGTTCAGTTAAATCAACTGGGAATCGTTTGACGGCGCCTCATTTTAACAGGCTTCGGGTATCTGTTTGCGAGGTACCATCCCGTTTACTTTTTCAAAGGGTGCCTGCAGAAGTGCCATCCCACAAATTGTTCGTAGTAGGGAGTAACGTGTTTTTTCATCAGTTCAGACGATCATAGCAGCATTAATCCCGGCATGTTGATTGACCTTGCAGTTGCGGATCGGAACAGCTTACCAGAGTCTAATTTCACGTTCCAAAATTTGATGACCAATGGGAGAATATCGATATACTGCATGCGCACTCGGCAGTTTTTGTGCCTTTTACAGTGTGCTCAAACGAACACCGTTCAACTCTAATTTGATGCTCATTGCTCTCTTACAAATGTTATCCCATTTCCTTGCAAGCGATAAGTACTCCAAAACCATAGGAGTTCGCAGCCGTTGTCTACAGAACTTGGCGCTGTGACAGCGCAGATGTCTACCGGCATTCTAAGCGTCCCAAATTATACTCCCTGCTCGTTGGTCCCCATTTAACCAGCTGTACTAAGGCTGAAACCAGTAGTGATGTGCAATGTTCGGCGCTGGCAACACTTGATGTGTATCTACCTCAGGATCGGTCCTGACGATTTGGCCGGTCTAAATCGAAATTGCATGCCATTAGCTGTTCGCACAACTGGTGATCTAGCAACGATCCGTTAGCCAATCGCTACTCGCGGCCTGGCGCCGTAGACGTTCGCCTATGTTCCAAGGTCTAACCCGAGTTCGATTGTCTATCCACAAGATTCCAATAGGGACAGAAGTTGTGGTGTAGTTTAATGTTGGGACAGCACAGCACAGACGACATCCCAATAACAGCTCGCTTCGAAGTGTGCTACAGCCCAACATGAGATTGCGTCTTGTAACCCACACACACACGACGGGTGCTGGAGTCCCAACATTGAATACCTCCGAACTCATACCTGTGACACTTGCATCACAGGCACACGCAAACTGACATTCATCCTTTTGCGGTGGTATACAGGCAACGTTGCCTCCAACCGGTGGCATCACACAACACGACGTCAAGATGCGTAGTGCGAAAAACAACTTTACACATCTCGAGTAAGATCCATCACAACTGCGTTCATTGATACAGTCACTGCACATCTGGAAAAGTACTGGACCGTCGTTTTGCCTTATGAGGACTAGACAGTATTGCCTCTTTCTTCTGCTTGGTAATATCAGAAACGGTGACCCTTTGATTTCGAGTCCACTGGGCAGCAAAGGATGGGTAGCAGTGGTCATCTTAAGGTATTAGCTCTATTGCACTCATCCTCTACTACCACGAGCCTTTCCAGAAGGCGAAGAACTTCGTTAGTTTCCTGAGATGCGACATCCCTTACTGAGCTGCCAAAGGTCTTTGTTACTAAAAGATAGCCTGGGCGATACCACTTCTAGGAGACTGGCGATGAAATTACCTTGGTTAGTTAAGAAACATTTGCAACAAAATTTCCAAGCCCGGTAAATGTATGTCAGCAGTGCTGTTAAGAACGGCACCATTGTGTTACTTCACAAACGGAATTTAGTTTGTGTCGTTTGAACAGGCACTTCAACATTCTTTTGATTCCCTGCTCCAGGGCCTCTACTTCTCAAATGATACAAGCAGCAAAAGGGCCGGCTTGTATTGAGGCTCGATCCGTGAGTGTGCTTCGAAATGCGATCACCGCGATCAATCGTTTTCTCGCTACTGGTCTTGATTCACTAGCACCTACGTCATTTAAAAATGCACGGGAAGCAATCTACACAACGATCTTTTTGGATGCACCGTGTGGCACATTCCATGTGCCTTCACGCTGCTTATACTACACTAGTCAGTGGTTAAATTTCTCGGTATCCTCCTCGTTGAAGGTCTGTGACTCTTCTAAAAGGCAATTTTTGATCAATAAGGTGCAAACTCACAAAGCACATCTTCGGTTGTCCAGGGTTCCAGATGCGTACTGTAATATGATGGAAAACACGTGTATCGTTCAGATTTTTCAAAAGCTGCGTGTGACAGGCCTCAAGCATACCGCAGTAGGATCCTGTAATCACAATCCCATACTGAACCTGCTCTCCACTGTATCGTGGACCAGAATATTGGGCTAGAGACAAGGTACGTGGATAAAAACCCTTCTTAATGAGCCATTGGAGAATATCATTAGCCTGCAAGAGCTCTTCATCGAAACTTTTTCTCTTTCTCTCACTCTCCCCTGTGATCCTTTCGGTTAATTGGCAGGGACAGCAACATCCATTCCTTTTGCAGATCAGTGGTGCCATGACAAGTTGTTTCAACTTCCGCATTCTGGATCATCATTGTTCAGCAAAAACCACCTCACCCATCGCTCCTTTTCATCATCTTCATTCAACACATTTTCTGGAGGTGGGAAACATCTAATTTATTTTCCCTTAATGCAATTCAGTTTGATGGTCGTGAAAACAAGTAGTACGACTTCCCATTTCATTATGCATCAAGAATATGGTTATGGAGTGTGAGACAACGAAACTCGAAACACAACCGCCAATGGGATCTGCCGTCGACTGTGTCAGCAACTTTTCAATTAATTGAGAGTTCTTCGCAGCAGCTTGGAAATCAGATGGCCTTCCACCTGCTCAGAAAAGCACTAGACTGAAGTTTCATTCTGTCGAGCATCATCAGTGTGCATCTACCTGATTTAGGAGCTGCTGCGACGAATTCTAAATCAATTACGTCAACAATCCCTTACTCATGCGCACATCAAAATATCCGCTCTAAAGTTTCTTAATGCTATGTCGTACATAGCTACTGTTAGTGCACGTTGTGTTTTTCGGGTCAAACCCTGTCTTCTGCAACGTTCATTACTTTTGCGACATTAAAGGATAAGATGCGCTGTATGGCAGTTTGCTTGTAAATCATGATGGTCAGAACCTGTCCCCCCGTGGCCCAGTGGCTTAAGCTGCTGACTGGTGGTGCAAGCCGCTTGTGGTCGTGGGTTCGAATCCTGTTGGATCGGATGGATGCGCACTACTGATGATGCCCAACTGCGAACTACTGCTTTTCCTCGCATATGGAGGACTTTCTGGTTTTGAAGTCGGTGCGACCAATTCTCAATTACATCACCAATACAATCATGAGTACATCAAAATATATCCGCCCTAACAGTTTCTAAATGCCATGTCGTACATGACTACTGTTAGTGGACGTCGTCTTTCGGGGCCAGCCCTGTTCTCTGCAACGATATTAACTTGCATGGCAGCGGAGGATAAGACGTGCTATATCGCAGTTATCTTGTAAATCATGACGGTCCGAAGCTGTCCCCCGTGGCTCAATGGCATCAAAAACTGACTGGCGGTTCAAGCCGCTGGTGGTCATGGGTTCAAATCCTGATGGTTGCGCACTGCTGATGATGCCCAGCAGACTGAAACTGCAGTCTAGTGCTTTTCCGGGCATGTAAAGGACTATCTGATATGGAAGCTGCTGCGACGAAGTCTAAATTAGTTACATCAAGAATCCCCTACTCACTCATAAGTACAACTCGGAAATTATTGAGAATACTTGTAGCTTGCATTGTAGATGTGGCTGGTTGTCTGTTTACTTTGTGTTGGATTCTTGGCTTCAAAAGTTTCATTACCATGCTAGGCGACATTGTCACTACAGTAGTTCACACCGATATTTTTACCTAGCCAGGTAACGAAACGTTTGACGTTAAAAGATACAACATGAAAATATATTGAACACAATCTATGGTACAGACATTGCGCAATCGGAATCATGGCGGAAAGTGTATGAATAAGGGGGAAAACAAACAAACCACAGTAGCTTTTTGTTCACTTTACCACTCACAACTCGACTACCTGGGAGGAGCTCAACGCCAGCGTTCAACGAATCGCCCAGAGTATTCTTTAGAACATCCTCAATGGTAAAATTGTATAGGAACAGAAAGGTAGGGCATCCTTGTCGAACTCCACTGGAGATCATAAAGAAAGGTAAAAGCTTTTCATAAGCCCTAACTGCCCGAGGTCAGACTATAGAGAGCGTGCAGTATGGAGACGAACTTCTTGGGGACGTCATTTCTCAACAGGTGGCTGAGCGCATATGCGACAACACAGTAGTCGCTGGCCTTTGATATACATAGCGGAGTGTGCAAATTTGATCGATGCCACCGCGACCAAAGTTCATCCCCGCTTGTTCTTGCTGCAGCGATTCGCGCGTTGGGGATGGCCCTCGAAGTGTGCTGGCCACCAGGAGCTTACAAACGATGGGAACTAAGCGTATGCCACTGTAGTTGGAGCGGATTGTGCACAAGCACTTTTTGAAGATGGGGACGACTGTCGATTCACCCCAAGATGATGGAACCTCTTCACTCGCCCAAACTTTCGAGAAAAAAGCGGTGGGTTCTCGAACGAGCGAATCACTACCGTCTTTACATAAAGCAGGAGGCCAACAAAACTGCGAGCCAAAATGTTCAGACCATCGCTCCAACCTTCGTTGAAGATTGGTAATTAAGGTTCTATCCTCTTCGCATATTGTTTCACTTATACCAGATCGCGCACCTTCGGCGACTGGGATTAGATGGAAAAGTTTTCTGATATTATCAGAGAGACTATCAAGTACCATCTCTCTAGCGCGTTCACACCACCAAGCTTCACGGTCCATTTGCAGACTACTGTGCAGCTCTCGACCCAGAGATTGGTGTATTCACCATGGCTGGAATCAGACGGCGTCGAACGACGTTTGTCCATGATCTATGGAATGAAGAATAACAAGAGGAGGTGAGGAGAGCCTTACCTGAAAATCTTAATGCTCTAAGCAAACATTCAGGGTCAAGGCGCCTACACCTCGTGTAGACAACATACCATCACAAACAGCTGGCTATCATGCAAAGATAAAGCGGCATCAGCGAGACAGCTTCCTTGCGGCTTTCGCTGCCACGCGTCATAATCAGCCATCACCCCGCAGATAACTCAGCACCAAACACACTTTAAACAGGCAATCTGATTAGGATACGGCAGCAGCCGCGCCACTGGTGTCGGTTGCGAGCCATGTCCTGCAAAGTCTCGAGCCAAGCACAAGGCGAGTCACGTGGACTCCAGCCCGGAAAGCAAGGAGGACCAACAGCAAAAGTTTGGTCGTCAGTGACTTCCTTTTCCGCTACCAAGTCAACTTCTGTCCACCTCGAGCCTTGCGCCACCCTACACGTGGCAGACTAAACAAGACCCTCCTAGGTAAGCGGTGGTCAGGCATACGTAGCACGTACCCGAGCCAACGCAATTTATTCAGTGCTATCTGTTGTTCCAGGGGGTTAGCATGATTATCACCACTTAGTACTCGCCTACGCACATCATCGTTGCGGACACGCTGGTGCCATCCGACACCAGCAATACTTCGCAGATAACGATGATCAAAGACTTGAAGGCGCCTCAGATCTTCAGACCGAAGGGGCCAAGTCTCACTACCATCGAGCAGAACGGCCCTCACTGTGGCCTTGTATACACGGCCTTTCAGACGGAGAGAAATTCCCTTCTGTCTCCAAAGATGCCGCAGGTTCAAGAAGGCAGCTCTGGCCTTTGCAATGCGTGAGCTCACGTCAGTTTCTATGCGCCCATCATTGCTGATGCAGCTGCCAAGATAAGTGAATTGATCAACCACCTCGAGTTCCTCGTTAGCAAGCGTCAAGGGGTCATCAAGTCGCCGGTGGTCCTGCAGCAATACTTTGCACTTTGAAGGTGCGAAGTGCATGCCAAATATTGGGATCACTCTGGACAGGCTGTTCAGGGTTGATTGTGCTGCCGCAACATGGTCGAAAAGCAACACGATCTAGTCCGCATAATCAAGATCAACCAACGTTTCACGAGGCAGGACCTCAACGCCTACATCGTGAGATTCCGCAAGGGAACACTCCATGACAGAATGGACAACGAAATTGAACAAAAATGGGGAAATCGGACAACCCTGACGAACACCACTTGTGGTCGGAAAGCTATCCGATAGGCCACCGTAGACCCTGACGCGGCTTGTAGTATTCGAGGATAGAGCACGAAGGATGTACACATATTTCGTGGGGTCACCTATACGTGCAACTATTTCGAACAGAATCGATCGATCGACTGAATCGAACGCACTCTTGAAATCGAGGAACACAGCTATTGTCGGTCTGCGGTATGCGTGGCGCTGCTCTAGCACCTGCCGCAAAGTGAATATATGGTCTACACAGCCAAGTTCTGGACGGAAACCAGCCTGTTGTTCCCTAATCCGAGATTCTCATTCTGCAGTGAGGCGACGAACGATAATCGAGGCCAATAGT